TCCTTCGGGGTAGGGGTAAGGTTTGCGTATACACTACCCTCCCCAGACCCCATTAGTGAAATTTTAATGGGTTGTTGTTGTTGTTGTACTCATTCGTAATTTCCGTAACTTTGAACATCATTTTTTCAGGAACATTAATGTTGAAGACGGGGATACACTTTAACGTCCGCACGGGTTTTAGGGCTTAATGTTGATAGTTACTCTTTTCGATCCAGTGTTATTTAAAGTTTTGTTAAGAAAAACGACTAATAATATTAATTAATCATAAAAGTTATTTGATTTATTCGTCTTTCTAAGAAATTGTTTAAATAGATTGGAGCAATGGTAGATCTGGAAAATACCGTCTTGGTTTCATAGAGCTTGACACTTATTTTAGATCAATTTGATTTGGCTAAAAAGGCACTTGGACCGAAAGAGAAGTAACATACTTTGCTAATGCTAAAGCGAAGCGGCACAAAATTGACTACTCCTATTCAAAGTCTTTTAAAATTTTCTGTATCCCTTATGAAAGATATTTAATAGTCGTAATTGTAAGAGTATTGCAAGTCTAAACTATCCATTATCTTCTTTTTTAAATGTCCCACATAATTAATATGTAATTGTCACGATCCGAAAATTTTACCTTTGGGACTGTGATAGCGCCTAACATTTCACTTGCTGGGTAAGTCAACGCTAGAATAGTTTATCCATTTTTAACAGTTCAAATTAAACAACAATAAAGAAACCGAAATAACTTAAATAAATTCTGAAGTAAGGTGCGAAAAATCATAACAACTGAAATATATAATACAAGCCCGAATCTGGTGTTACAAGTACACGAGTTACTAGAAATTCTACAAAGAGAATCTGAAATAAAATATAACTATTTCGAATGAAATGAACAGTAAAAGAGGAAAGAAGAAGGGGACTTCAAGGTTTGCGAACGTCAACAGATCTACATCAAGTCTCCGAATGTGATAATCCAAGCTAGTGCACCTCACGTACAGTTGAGACCAGTACCAAAATTTGCACAAAAAGTGCAGAGTGTAGTATGAGTACAACCGATCTAATGTACTCCGTAAGTGTCGAGCCAAACATCGATGAGATAGTGACGAGACTATGACAGGACACTCACGTAATTAAACATGTACAAACATAGAAATATGTACCAACAGCAACAAATAAAGATTTAATATGTACAGTTGGGAGGGGATATAGAAAAAAGGGGACAAGATGCGATAACTACAACATAAATGACAACACAAGGCCGTCAAATAAATCATCAACCAATAAAGACGGATAAACATACGAAATAAAGATGGCACAGCATCACCCTTCGTTCTTTTACTCTCAACCTTACTATGAAATGATGACATAAGTATAATGAAATGGCACGGCATCACCCTTCGTGCTTTTACTCTCGATTTGCCCATCTAATAATGAATAATTGATATAGATGGCACGGCATCACCCTTCGTGCTTTATCTCTATTCCTCACAATGTATTAATCAATAAATGAAGTAATAAAATGGCACGACATCACCCTTCATGCTTTAACACTCTTCCTTACCATGTAGTAATGAATATAAAAATTCGGGAGATAAATAATGCACGTATGTACTTTACGTCAATGATGATTCTATGATACCAAACCTTAACTTCCAACATACTCAACCATCACAATAAATCCATAAAAACGGAAGGAACGATCAAATAAGTGATAATCTAATCTAAGCATGGGTGTCATAATTTAAGAGCCAATAAATCACAAAGAAATAAGTTCTATGCATGCTTTAACCCAACAACAATGCATAAGTACTCGTCATCTCACATATATGTTTTACCCACATATTAAACACATAGCAAATAGGAAAACAAGTCATAATCCCTCAAATCAAGGTTAACCACGATACTTACCTCGCTCCGCAACCAATTCAAAGTTCAACTACGACCTTGCCATTCGAAGAAGCCTCCAAACCAACCAAATCTAGCAAATTATCAACCAAACGATTCAAAATAAGCCTTAAAAACTACCCACGAATGAAAGCGGTTCAATTTAGATCATTATTGAATAAGTCTACAAAAGTCAATCCCGGACCCGCTTGGTCAAAATTGTCACGCCCCGACCTCGCGAAGTGCGACCGACGCTCAACAGAGTTACCCCTGGTCGAAAAAGCTTGCACAGTACCGTCTACCTAACTCACCCATGAATAAAGAGAAGAATACATTTCATTAATTAGACAGTAAGAAGTCATGTGAAAAACTAGTTCATTTACATCAGATACGTCATTAACAAGTCTCCAAAACAGTACCTTGTACAATCATAGTTAAAGTGGAATAGATGATACGATTACAATATTTTTAGTTTAACTTTCCAAGAATAGGTACAACCCACACTATGTCTACGGAGCCTCTAACATGAACAAAAGAGTGTTATGACAGTGCCGACAACAAGCCCCATACTATACCTCAAAACTCTATGTACAAAGGATAAGAAATACAGGACCCCGAAATGAATTGGGGCTCACCAAGTCAACTGAGGAGAGGGTGTGCTGCTATCACTGATCAATACCACCTGCTATGGAACCACCTGCATCCATTAAAGATGCAATGCCCCCGGCAAAAAAGGACGTTAGTACATATGGAATAGTACTAGTATGAAAAACTAAACACCCTCTCAATAGAACGAGCAACAGTAAACGGAGAGTAAAACATGAAATCAACAAGAGACTCAAACAATATCAAGGTGTAAAGTTAGGGGAAAGGTAAATTTTAAGTAGGTTTCAGTAATTTAAGTTGGGAGATCTTTAGCACCGATACACTACCGTGTCTTAGCACGAAGTCTGATCTCAGTCCGACCGACTAAGCCGTCTCACCCGAGATATATACTCACAATACCACTATGTGCACTGCATGCCATTCGATCTTAGCCCGATCGTCTAAGCCGTCTCACCATAATGTCGTGTGGGTCAACATCACTTCACATCACGTTAGCAATAATCTCATCCCATTTAAGGGGAAACATCTCAACACACAAATCTCATCCCATATAAGGGAAAGTAGTCTCATCACATTAACACGGAGATTTACCCCTCAATTACTCTTACACCGGCACGTGTAGTTTCGGGGTTAAGTTGTTCCGACCTACCCTTCCTCGGTGGCTAAACGATACTTCTAAGGCATTTATTATTAAAAGTATTTACTACTCAATTCATATTCTTTTACATGTCATTAATTTTATTGGCATTATTGGCCATAAGGCAATATCATTCTTGGCACGTTGGCCGTACTTCATAATTTATGCTCACTATTCTACTTTCATACATCAACACGGATTGTCAACAACAAATATTTCTATTCAAGACTTTAAGCACACATTTGAGCAATTTGGGGTCTTAAGCACATGTGATTTCTTACACAATTTAATATGATCACTTTCATTTGGGTTTGACTTGAAGTCACAACATTTTAATACATACTCATACTTTGAACACGTTCCCGAAGAATAACATAACCTGATAAGAATATTCCAAAGGACATTTTGAACATATTCATATAAATACATCTTTCGACACCAAACTTATTCATAAAAGTCAATTCATAATGGACAACTCGGGACTTACAAAAACATCGTGGGAATTCAATTCTATGAGAGAAGTTTAGCCAACATACCTCGCCTCGAGCTTTTTAAATTACTACAATATTCTGAAAATCTTAGCCACTTCGATCCATTTAGAGATATAGCAAAATTGAATACAAATTAGGAAGGAGTTCACAGTTCCAGCTCACTTGAGCATTTTATCAAATACTAAGTGAGCATTAAGATTTCAAGATCCTCCTATGGTGGATTCTTTTACCCCACTATCCAAAGTTTACCCAAAAGAACTTATCAATCTCCCCACTACCCTTGATGGTACATGAATGTAAAATAAACAATTTTCATACCCAAGAATTACTTGGCTTATTACTTATTTTCAATTAAAATTATGAAATTAAGGGTTATGGAGTAGAACCTTACCTCTAGGATGAAGACCTAGTGAATATATATCACGAAATTAAAATCACGAAATTAAGGGTTAAAGTAAAATATATATCACTTAATTATAGTAAGTAAATATATGTACGCAAGACAAATGCCTTGTATTAGTAATTTAGTATAAACATCAAGGAGTGCAGTCAATTAGATTTTACCATTAATTTGCCTAGAAGGTTATGAGATTATAAGTAAAAGAGTGTAAAATATTTCCCTTTTCCTTATAAGAATGATTCTTAACCAAGTACAGAGAAAAAGTGCATCTCCTCTCACACAGCGCAACAAATTAAAGCTAATGAAAACAAAAGAGCCAAGGGAGACAACTGTTTCAATCCTTGCACACGTTCAAACATTATATACTGCTATCGTAAAAAATGAGTTTCAAGTGTTACTAAAACTTTTAGGAATTAGCTAATATACTTGATGATGTAAAGAATCTTATATATTATCGTGTATTTGTTGTAAAAATTATCATATTTAAAATAAAATAATATATTATTATAACAGTTAGGTTACACCAATAGTATAAAATTCCTTCACTATTAATATATACTATATCTTAAATTCATGTACAATTACATATTATTAGTTATTTTTCAAATGATCAACTAATAGTACAAGTTCTTTTTACACTGTCCATGCATAAAAATTAAACATGTTCTTTTAATAATCAGTAAATACGTATATAGATAAATATTAAGTGAAGAAATAAAACTAACAATTTATTACATATATTTTTGTATCAATTTTCTTTTGGGAAACAAATGAGCTATGTAATCTCCACACATGATCAATATACATGCACATGGTGCCCCAAAAAATTATTTTGGCTATTGCTTTTCTATAAAATAATACATGCAGATACATACGGTGGAGTTCTCTCTTTCCAAAGTTTAAACAATTGGTCTGTTTGCAGTAATGACCAATGCATGTTTGGCACCCACACCACAAAATTATGTGAAAATAGAAAACAATAGGTTGGCCAACTTCACCAAATCTTCAATGGATAATTATTTATGCAGTCATTCCAAGGGTTATCAGAATCTTGTTTTGAATCTTGAATCCATTTCCACACCAAACTCCCTACCTTAAACCCTGTCCCAAATGCAATCATCCACATTTTATCACCTTTTTTCACTCTTCCTTTTGCTTCGAAATAAGCCAACTCGTAGAACACTAAGCTACTAGACGTGTTACCAAATCTGTTCAAACACATTTTAGCTGGCTCTGTCACTTCATCGCTTAAGTTTAAAACTCGTCCCACTTGATCTATTACTGCTTTGCCACCTGTGTGTATACAAATGTGGTCGAAAGCTTTTGTAAAGTCTGGAACCACTGGCTTTGATTTGCCTTGGGATAATATAGTCATGATCATTGAGTAAGCATAATTTGCTAGTTGGGTCATTGGAAGGACTCGCGGTGCGAGAATTTTGATGTGTTGACGTAGGTTCATCCCTGCCACTCTTATTAAATCTTTAGTAAGTGAAACACCGGTAATACCTGTTAGAAAGAAGTAATATTAAATTGTTATTGATTGCGTGTGCGAACAAAGTCTGATAGATGAAAATGTCAAGCCGAAGCTACATATAAAGCGTACGAATACTCTTGATGAGGCCTTTTTTTTTAAAAAACTTATATGTTTGGCCCAATATACACTATTTCATACAATGTCAGAAGTATCTTTGGACTAGCTGAGTCTAACATTAGCAAAAGAGGTGGAGAAAACTTCCTTACGGCGCCAAAAATTAATACTAGAGGATTCAAAAGTAGCAATTTTTAAACTCGTTTGCCGCTTCACTAAAAATATTTCATATGTCAAGGGATAATATATATATAGAGAGGAGGATTCATCTCTTCAACCTAGCTCTGCCACTGATCAAATGACAAATATTTATTGGTGACGGATGATAATTCTAGACTTACTATTAGATAAGACCTATCACCTGGAAAACAATGACAAGTCTAGAAGGATTTAAATTAATACTGTAGATGACTAGTATCAATGCAATGATCTTTTATGCTATCAATATAGTTAAGGTATGATAATATATTAATTATTTTTTATCAGGTTATTAATTATTATCATTGATATTATCTATATTTACTTTTTTAATAGACTTAGTTTTGTATACTTAATTTACACTGCGTAAGACTTAAAATATGAATAAATAAAAATAATCCGACAATGCATGCTCTTAGAAAAAATATAAAACTTATCCTAATTCCTACAAGCCATATGAATTCACAAGGTATGTGATAAAGATGGATATGATCTCTTTATCCTTAATCAAAGGTCTCATGTTCGAGCCTTACACAGTAAAGCTGATATATGCGTGTAAAGCTGCACTAATCAGAGTTCATATGCGTGTACTGGAGATCGGATGCAAAGCCAAACAAAAAAAGGCAGATCATTCAAAACTGATATATACAACAATACCTTTATCATCTTCCTCCTGAAATGCAGCTTTATACGCACTATCATCTGCACCATGGTGTGTTCTAAGAGAATGAACAAGCTCCATTTTGGCATCTTGGAAAAGATTTGGATTATTGCTAATAATAGCAGCTGCACAGCCAACACGAAAGATACAATTTGTTACTAACATCGAACGATTATCACCATTGTACCAATTCAGTGTTATGCTCTCGGTGATCACAACAAGGGCATTTTGGACTTTTTGGCTTCCACGTAAAACCCTAGCAGCAAAATCAATGGAAATAACCCCAGAACTACATCCCATTCCACTCAAATTATATGTTTTCACGTCGGACCTAAGCTCATAATGGTTCACAATGAGTGAAGAAAGCGAAGGGGACGGCGAAAAACTTCCACATGTAACAATGACAATGTCAATGGATTGTGGATCAATTAGGGTTTTAGCTAGAAGGTCATCAATGGAAGAAAATATCCCTTCTTGAGCTTCTTGATTTGCAGACTTTAGTGTAGGCATTTTGTCTTCTTCAAAAATGAAAGGTGGTCCATAAGTTTCATCACCTAAGCCAGATTTAAGGTAAATGTTACGCATGAAATCGATGGATTCTTGCACTAAGTGTACATTCTTGAGTAGGAATGATTCACCAATTTGATAAGAACATTTCCTGTGTGGTGGTGGCTTGTAACATGAATAGTTTAACAAAAAAACCTTATGTGGACGAGTATGATAGTAGTAGAGAAGGGAGAAAAATGCACAGACGAAAAAATATAGAAAAAGGTGAAGGTGGGTGGTGAGGAGATGGAATAGGATATGGAGGAAAAATGTGAGGAATAAAAGTCTTAAAAATGATAATTGGAGGGCTTGTAGTGGTATCATTTTTGGGTTCTTGTTTCTTTTGTTTCGTAGGGTTTTGATTGGGAAAAAAACTTGCTAATTATAGAAATGCAACATCAAAGTTCCTTATATATACAAGTATATTTTGGGGGATAGGAGCAGTGGGAGGTGGGGGGTTAAAGGGGGTTGGGACATAAAGCATTGAATGCTCATGAGAATGATTAATTTATATGTAGATTTGGCATTTGGCAAATTGCAAGAACCGACGTGCTCGACATGACAAATACTGTACACGGTATTTAATGAAAATATTGGTATTGAAACTCGACTAACTCCGAAGTAACGCTGAAAAGTTCAATTTATATGGTAAAATACTTGTTAATAAAGACAATTCTATACTCAAACCTGAAACTTTTAATTAATAATGAAAAAATAATTACTCCCTCCGTTTTAAATTAAATGAGGTAGTTTGACTAAGAACGGAGTTTAAGAAAAACAAAAGAAGACTTTTAAAATTTGTGGTCTTAAAAGCTTTAGGGGTAAAAGCTTTGTGGGATCATGACATTTGTGTGGTTATAAAAGCTTTTTATTAAGGGTAAAATGAGTAAAATGAAGAGTTTAAAGTTGAATTATTTTCAAATTTAGAAATATGTCATTTATTTTGGAACAGACTAAAAAGGAAAGTACCTCGTCTAATTTGAAACGGAGGAATTACCATTTTACCACATTGATCCTTGTTGGTATTTTGGGCGGAATTGATTGTTTGGAGATATCGGCAACTAATGATGATGGTGTGATTGACAATCACTGTCCATTTCTAGTGATGTTTGGACTTAGGCTTCCAAAAATTTCTCTTGTAGGTTTACCAAAAAGGTTTTTGAACGTAACCCTTATAAGTTTTGTATTATAATATATTTTAGTAGGATATCTATGTTATCCTAGTTTCACATACAAATATAGCACCCAACATAAAATAATTATATTTTGGTTGTTAATAAATTTTTATAAGGTAGAAATTTGTTGATGTTCAATCCAGATGTCAATAATATTTATTACTCTTCTAAGCAGGCAGAATACGCTGCTTTTATTTACTTCAGACTAGAAATGATATGCCTACATTGCATTAAATCCTTTCCCTATTCCAATAATACTGTAACGATCCGGCCGGTCGTTTTGAGTATTACAACCCCGTTCTCTCATTTACTGCTCCATTTGTGCTTTATAGCTGTATTATGACCTATCGGATTAGTTGGTTCGGGTGTGGAGAGATTTCGGAATGCATTGAGACACTTAGTCTCATAATGGAAAGCTTAAGTTGGAAAAGTCGACTGGATGTCGACTTATGTGTAAACGACATCGGATTTGAATTCTAATGATTTCAATAGCTCCGTATGGTGATTTGGGACTTAGGAGCGTGTCCGGAAAACTATTTGGAGGTCCGCAGTGGAATTAGACTTGAAATGCTGAAAGTTAAATTTTTGGGAAGTTTGACCGGGGGATTAACTTTTTGATATCGGGGTCGGAATCCAATTCTGAAAATTGAAATACCTCTGTTATGTCATTTATGACTTGTGTGCAAAATTTGAGGTCAATCGAAAGTGATTTGATAGGTTCCGGCGTCGTTTGTAGAAATTGAAAGTTTCAAAGTTCATTAGACTTGAATCTATGTGTGATTCGTGTTTTTAGTGTTGTTTGATGTGATTTGAGGTCTCGAGTAGGTCCGTGTTATGTTATAGGACTTGTTGGTATATTTGGTTGAGGTCCCGGGTGGCGTTGGGTGAGTTTCAGATGGTTAACAGATCAAATTTGGACTTAAAACCACTGCTGGAAATTTTGCTTATGGTATTTTCGCACCTGCGGAGGTCTGATCGCATGTGCAAATCCGCATGTGTGCACCAGCCATCGCAGAAGCGACCAGACGTGAAGAGGGGCAGTGGTCGCATGTGCAAAAAGAAACGCACAGAAGCAGAAGGAGCATTCTGGGCAATCGCAGATGCAGACATGTCGTCGCACCTGCGAGACCGCATATGCGGCTAATCTGGTCACAGGTGCGACATGCCCTGGACAGAATAAAATTGGATGAGTTCCGAGAATTTGCCATTTTTGGGCATTTCAAGCTCGGGTTGGGCGATTCTTGAGCGAGAAATCACGAAAAATCTTGAGGTAAGTCACTTGTGATCATTTCTACTCCATAATATTGAATTATCATCGAATAATCAGACTAGATTACGTGTTTTTGAGGTATAAATCGGGGATTTGAAAATAAAATTTGAGGATTTGGAGGTCGAGTTGAGGTCAAATTTTGGTAAAATTAGTATGGTTAGACTCGTGGTTGAATGAACTTTCGGATTTTGTAACTTTTGTTGGATTCCGAGACATGAGCCCCACAGGTGATTTTTGAGCTAAATTTCGGATTTTACTGGAAAATTAGTATTTTCTTATGGAATTAATTTCAATAAATTTTATTGACTAAATCAGATTATTTGTGGCTAGATTCGAGGCGTTTGGAGACCAATTCACGAGGCAAGGGCCTAGTGCAGTAAAGAATTTTACGATTTGAGATAAGTAACACTTCTAAACTTGGTTATGAGGGTATAAATCCCCGAATTAGTGTTATATAAATTGTTTGGAAGTGATGCACACGATAGTTGACGAGCGTGTGGACGTGCACCATAGAAATTGTGACTTGAATAAATCCTGTGAAGTTGTAAAAATTAAAGAATCATGTTATTATCTGAACATTTCCCACGTATTAAAGAAATTGAGTTGAAACTTTTATTAAAGATCATATTTAGGTTACGTGCCAATATTTTTGGTACCCATGGAGTTGTGTTACTATTTAATTAATTGTTTCAATTTTTTTTTTATAAAATATCCATTATTTCACACTCACTCATATCATCCATTGTGAGGATATTTATGGGATCGAGCTGCGCGCCGCATCAGGTCATATTGGCTTTATATATGTTATCATTAATTGGATTGGGGCTGTCTGCTTGCAGCAGGCCATAATGGCTTTATACATTATTATTATATGGATCGGGGCTGCCCGCCCACAGCAGACCTTATAGGCTTTTCTATTTTATGGATCGGGGCTACCCGCTTGCAGACCTTATAGACTTTATTATTATATTGATCGGGCCTGCCCGCCTGCAGTAGGCCATAAAGGATTTATATCATGCTTGGACTGAAGAAGCCCCTCCGGAGTCTGTACACACCCCTAGTTAGCGTAGATGATTATATATATTCGGGATAGATTTCACAGGGCATGGACTTGCCTTACTTATTTATATTGTAATGAATTTACCTGGACATGGATCTTGTCTGTATCATTTACATTTGGGGATAAATTACTGATAGATAGGGGTTTTAGCCTATTATTTGCTCTCTTTTGCTTAGGTTTGGGTCAAAAATGCGCAAAGGTATTCCTGAAAACTAACTTAATGTGGTTGCTTGCAGGGTTTGATCAAAATGAGGCAAAGAAGCCATAATCAACTCATGAAGGAGTCAAACTTGCACGAATCCAAGGCTGAGACTGGAGCGATGAGAGCGGCAGAAAAGCGCGGCCGTATAAGGACCACTGCTGAGGCGACCACTATTACGCGGTCCGCGAAAGTAGATTCAGAGAAGCTTCTTTGAGTACTAAAATCACCGCTGACTGCATTGGAAAAGCGCAGCCACAAAATCTTTGGCGCAACCGCGAGGGGATTTTCGCTGAGAGCGTGGTTCGAGGTTCATAGACTCTACAGTTTGGGCTCAAATGAAGAACGCGGTCCGCGTCCAAATTACGTGGCCGTTAATTAATCTCACGCGGATGTGGTAAACATTACGCGGTCCGTGAAACGAAGATCTACCCAGGCCCAGATATGAAGAAACACGAACCGCGCTCACTGTTACGCGACCACGAAAGCCCAAGCACGGACGCAGTCAGAATTACGCGTCTGCTAAACCTCCGCGAAGGCATTTTTGTCCGAAATTTTCAGCCTAGTATAAATAGATTCTTTTATCAATTTTAGGTTAAGTTTTGTTTAGTAGAGCACATGAACGACTGGGTTTTTCCCTTTTTGGTCAATTTTAGAGTAGATTTACCTTCGAACTTTAAATTTTCATCTTGTACTTTAATATTATGGCTTATATTTCATCTTTATCTTTGATTTCTGCTGTTATTATGAGTAGCCAGACCCCATATCTAGGGTTGTGACCCAACCCTAGTGTGGGTATTTAATGGGTCTTGAATTTTAGGGCTTAATTATTTATGGGTTAGTAATTAATGCTAAAATTGTAGAATTAGTGGTTGCAAACACTGACTCATGCCTTTATGACTTAGGCTCTTCTTGAGAAAGAGATACTAAGTCTAGAAAAATTAGGCTAACAAGAAATTGGGGTGAACTCAAGAGATTGATAGCCCCAATTAAAGGGTTAAACCTAGAGATAGTAATACCCGACTTGAGCCAATTTTACTTGTATTGTATGAACACCCATTTGGGCTTGAGAAAGCCAAATCGGGCAAAGTCACTCAAACTACCGAGAGGTATAGAGTGAGCACTTACGTGTGATGGTTATATCACGACCCCAATCATAACAAGCTTGTTCTAGATTCTTGATACCCATTAGATACTCACCTAGGCGGAAGTCACTTCCCTAGTGCCTTTTAACACTTGAAAACTTTCACNCAAGAAATTGGGGTGAACTCAAGAGATTGATAGCCCCAATTAAAGGGTTAAACCTAGAGATAGTAATACCCGACTTGAGCCAATTTTACTTGTATTGTATGAACACCCATTTGGGCTTGAGAAAGCCAAATCGGGCAAAGTCACTCAAACTACCGAGAGGTATAGAGTGAGCACTTACGTGTGATGGTTATATCACGACCCCAATCATAACAAGCTTGTTCTAGATTCTTGATACCCATTAGATACTCACCTAGGCGGAAGTCACTTCCCTAGTGCATTTTAACACTTGAAAACTTTCACCAAAAATATTGTACTTAGCTTACACTTAACATACAATAGTATAAAATTAGAATAGAATCAATCGCAACAATGTTTGGAAATGCAATTACGAACAACACACATATCTAGATTACTTGGATACCCAACTCCAAACCAAATTAACTCCCTGTGGAAATCGATCCCGACCTCGTTGGGTAAAACTGCATCGACCATCCTCACTACTCTATAGTGGTGTAGGTTTTGCCTCGATCAATTACCCCAGGGTTGGATTGTCCTTATACTGTATTGAGTGACTGACTGTCAGTCGATATGTATATATATACTGGTTGGAATACCCCTGGGCTAGATTGTCCATAAACAGTACCGAGTGACCAAATAATTTGTGACCAGTATTTACATAAAGTCGCTCTACTGAGATGTCATATTCCTCATATCATGCAATATTGATCTATTTCACTTGTACTGAGTTTAATTGTTGAACTTGAAAGCATGCCTACATTTCTGTACCATTATTTATACTGGACTGTACCTGCATAGCTCGTCACTACTTTCAGCCCAGAGGTTAGTTTTGCTACTTATTGAGTTGGTTGTACTCATACTACACTCTGCACCTTGTGTGCAGATCTAGGTGCTTTCGGACACGGCAGCTGTTAGACCTCAGTGTGTTACCAGTTGGAGACTAACAAGGTAGTTGCCTGGCGTCCGGTGACTTTGTCTCTCTTTCCTTTAGTTATTGTACTGTTCTATACTTTCAGACAGTGATTTTTATCAGTCAAATATTGTATTCATATTAGATACTCATGTACTCAGTGACACCAGATTTTGGGGAGTGATTTTTATCTGTATTGTGATAATTTTTCCGTTGAATTTAAATATTTGTTTTCAAACCTAAATGATATGGTGGTGTATTGAGATTGTTTGCCTAGTAGTGAGATATGTGCCATCACGACAGGTGAGATTTTGGGTCGTGACAAATACTCCCAAGACATGTTATCCTGAATTTTCCTCCTTTGCCTATTCCGTTAACTTTAATTTACTATAATGAATTCCTGTATGTATTTACATTATAAATGGTGTTCTTAAACTAAATCTGTATATAGCGAACGACTATTGACCAGTAAAAAACTTTAAGGGAAAGAATTTATTCGTACACGTTGTAACTAATGGATGCAATACAAATGAATTGTAATAAAAAAGTAATAATTGAATTATGATTAAACGATACTCATTTTAATTGTGATTTTAATAAATATTAATATTGATTTGATATAAACATCGTGTGACTAAATTGTTTTTCCCATAAAGTGTGAATAATTTTTTTTTCTCAAAAAATGGCCACAATAAAATACTTTGTAATGTGTATATACCGTAAGCATGGGCGGATATAGAAGCTTGGTTACATGTTCATGTAAATTCAGTAAACTTTTGCTCATACCCCATATATATATACTATTATGAAACTCACCAATATTCATAAATATTTGATTGTGAATCAAGTTATCATTAATTGTAATATTAACTTGAAGTTAATTACTATCGAAATTCATAATATTTAAATTCGGAATCCTCTTCTGATCGTTACATAGTTGAAGCAAGAACGTAAGGGGTGGGTAGCAGTCTACTGGCCACCTCCTCCACTTCCCAGCAAGAAAACAACTACAAACAAATTTCTATCTTTAGCAATTAGCATGTTGAAATAGAAGGATATGAGGAGTTTGTCAACTCTCTATTCATTGATATATTCATATCACTACCATCATTTGTAACTTAGCTTTAAGTCTTCATCTTCATTTTCCATTTCTTTTTATTTTCATTGTGTATTTATCTTTTATCAACTATATCATTGAATAGCAGCAGTTTCAGTTCTTACTTTGAACTGAAATTGTGTCAGCAATGACATTTCTTGGGAAGTACTTTTTAAGCAAGTGATCGATCAATTCTAAAATTATTTGTGTTTCCAAAGCGTCCAACGGTGATGAAATATGATCTCATTTGGCCATACCATACAGATCAGAACTTTCTGAACAGAAGACTTACTACCCCTTAGCTCA